CCCCTCCCCGCCCCCTCTGCCCGCTCTAGCCAATCCGCCGGCAGCGCTGGCCCAACCCCTCCCCCTCCTGCTCCTCCTCCTCCTCCCTCCCTCCCCGTGACGCTCCTCCGGCCAATCGGCGACGCGCTCCGTGCGTCGCGTGCGTTCCCGCGAGCCCCCGGCCAATCAGCGAGCACCTGCGTGCGCCCCTCGCCCCCAGCCAATCATCGGTGCCCGCCCCTCGCCCCAACGGTCGCCTGCGGCCCCTCGTCTCCTCCGCAGCGCGCAGGCGCAGTACGGGGGCGTGACTCTGAGGGGACAGGCCCTGAGTGTTTGTGGGCCGTGAGAGACGTGGATACCTATAGGCATATATATATATATATATGCACACACACACATAGAGAGAGTACATACATACATACATAGAGGGATATACATGTATGTAAAAGAGCTCAGTCAGTCACATCCGCAAAGCGCAGAATTTAAGAACAATGCCAAAAACGGTGAGATTTGGCAAGTGCTGAAATGGCTTCCAGGCCGTGGGGGCCACGTGGTGCTTCACCGAGCCTCTCCCACCTGCCTCCCAGGGTCCTGCCAGGACCCATCTGAGGGCAAAGCACGCTCTAGGCCTCGGCCTGCTTGCGGACAGCTCCGAACTGGGCCCGGCGCAGGCTGGCGGGGCGCCAAGCCCGGGGGTCAGTGTCGCCCCTCGCGCAGGATGAAAGAAGACACGCTTGCTGCCTAAAACGAGGCTTGACGGGCAACCGGCAGTCCGGATCGCGATGACGTGCGGAGGCCCTAAGCGATGTCCCTCTGAAGAGGTCCTGCACGATAAAAAATAATACACGAAATCGGATCTTCATGACATTTTAAGATGAATTATTGTTATTTCTGCAAAGGTTTATGACCTCAGTATGAATAATAACTGTGGCGCTGTGAGGACTACGTGCATTAGAGCTCTACGGACGCGTGTTTGAGTTTGAGCCCTGCCCGCGGCAGCTTTCGGAGCACGTTACGCACCTGTTCGATAGCCTCTGCCCGCAGTTTCCCGAGCTACGTTTTGCAAGTTTTGCCTCATGGCTAAAATTGATGGTACGACTGGTATTTGTAAGCACTTTCAAACCCATTTGCAGGCTCAAGTTTCACTCTAGAAGTAGCGTTGAAGACATAAGCATTAAATAGATGAGGATAAAAGCCTCAGGTAAGTATTTGTATTTTTCACTCTCTTTTTGAACAACGGGGCCAAGTGAGGGAAGAAATTAATCTCGCCAGATGTGGCAGGAGGACTGATAGGTCAGACCAGTACACAAGTGTTCAAAAGGATATGAAGAGGGGCAGAGCGAGGTCTGAGGACTTCATTTCTGCCCCCACACCTGTATGTTGCATTTCAGTCCCCCTTCCAAAAGCTGAAGTGCCGAGACCAGTGAGGAATGGGAATGGGAACGTGGCAGGCACTCGGTGCTGAGATGGAGCGAGGGGCTGCAAACGGGCATGTCAATTGCCTGATGGTACACAATACTTAGATCACAGCTGGGAACTGAAAAAAGGCAAATTTGATGCATGGCCCAAACACAGAATGAAAGGCAGCACAAGAACACCCATTGAAACCAATTATTCAATTCCTCTGTCCCTAAGCAACTTCTTCATTCTGTTTCCATTTCCAAAGGGGTGTTATTCAGGAGAGAACAAATCCCTGGAGTAACTGGGCCACTTCATACTGGTTTGAGCCTCTGATGCTGCAGATGTAAACGTAGAATTCCTTCTTTATGTGCTAAGGCAAGATTTGGCGTAGGAATTTTGCAGATCCAGCCCCAGCTGGTACATGTCCTAAAATAGCACCATCACTTTCTCATGGCTCCTTCAAGTTTAACAGGAAAATGGATCATGGAGGACAAAGGTCTGGTTGGGTGGTCACAGAGCAGCACATGGGTGCTGGAGTGGTCAGAATCGTGTGGTTGTCATCAGCAGCAATTCTTCGATTCAGTGATGATCTCTACCATCGCTCGTTGATGGGTTTGAGGTGACGTAAGAGTCCAGTGCTTGAGCCACAAATCCATCCACAGAAGTTGCAGGTCTTTCCACAGGGGAGAGTAGGCTGCAGGCAGGGATTTCTCTCCTTTTCCTTTCTCTGCACTCTCTTCTTTGCTTTGAGAGCAAAAAACTTTACCTCAAAATGGGCTGCCACTTGGTTGAGGTTAAGGTGTCATTGGGGTCAGTTGGCAACCAGCTCCTTCCAGCTCTTGATGTCAGGTCCTTACTGAATCATTCCCAATGATTATTGTTAGCTCCAGCAGGCAGAGGAAAGTTCGCATTGTACAGGTGTTTTCTTTTCTGGTTTTCTGAAATCTAAATTTGCATTGCCTTAACTTGGTATTTCTTGGTCTTGAGAGGTTTTAGTCCATCATGTCACATCCCAGTGGCAACTTCATAGTTTCATAGTTGATAGGGTCAGAAGGGACCTGAGCAGATCATCAAGTCCGCCCTCCTGCCATAGAAGGAAAAAGTACTGGGGTCAAACGACCTCAGCAAGGTGTTCGTCTACCCTCCTCTTAAAGACCCGCAGGGTAGGAGCCAGCACCACTTTGCTTGGAAGTTGGTTCCAGATCCTAGCTGCCCTGACTATGAAGTAGCGCGTCCTGATGTCTAGTCTGAATCTACCCTCTGCCAGCTTGTGACCACTATTTCTAGTCACTCCTGGTAGTGCTCGGGGGAACAGGGACTTCCCCCAATGCCTGCTGGTCCCCCTGACAAGTTTGTAACAGGCCCCTAGATCCCCCCTCAGCCTTCTCTTGTGGAGGCTGAAGAGGTTCAGGTCCCTCAGCCTCTCCTCGTATGGCCTGCCCTGCTGCCCCCTGATCATGCGGGTGGCCTCCTCTGGACCCTCTCCATGCTGTCCACATCCCTCCTGAAGTGCGGCGCCCAGAACTGGACGCAGTACTCCAACTGCGGCCTGACCAGTGCCACATAGAGGGGGAGGATCACCTCCTTGGACCTGCTTGAGATGCATCTGTGGATGCACAACAAGGTGTGGTTGGCCTTCCTGACCTGCTGCTGGTTCTTCCTCCCCAGGTGCAGCACCTTGCACTTGCCAGTGTTGAACCCCATCCTGTTCTCATCTGCCCACCCCTGGAACCTGTCTAGGTCCGATTGCAGCCTATTCCTCCCTTCTAGTGTGCCCACATCCCCCCACATCTTAGTGTTGCCAGCAAATTTGAACAGGGTGCTTTTTACCCCCTCGTCCAAGTCGCTGATGAAGATGTTGAACAGCGCGGGTCCGAGGACTGAGCCCTGGGGGACTCCACTGCCCACATCCCTCCAGATCGAAAATGACCCGTCCACCACCACTCTCTGGGTGCGGCCCTCCAGCCAGTTAGTGACCCTATTGACTGTGTAGGTGTCGACGCCACAGTCCCCTAGTTTTTTAATGAGAATGGGGTGAGAGACGGTGTTGAAGGCCTTCCTGAAGTCCAGAAAGACTACGTCCACTGCTACCCCTGCATCTAAGGATTTTGTGACCTGGTTGTAGAAGGCCACCAGGTTGATCTGACAGGACCTGCCTCTAATGAACCCATGTTGGTTGCCCCTAAGCATAACCTCCCCTGCCGGCCCCTCATGGACATGCGCCAGAATAATTCCGTCAAAAAGCTTACCCAGGATCAAAGTAAGACTAACAGGCCTATAGTTTCCTGGGTCCTCCTTCCTCCGTTTTTTGAAAATGGGAACCACACTGGCCCTTTTCCAGTCCTCTGGCACCACACCAGAGCACCACGAGTGCTCATAAAGCCGTGCCAGGGGTCCCACAATGACTTCTGCCAGTTCCCTCAGCACTCTGGGGTGGAGATCATCAGGACCAGCTGATTTAAATACGTCCAGTCCCTCCAGAAGTCCCCTGACTAGATCCTCACTGACCCTAGGCCTGATTAATTTGCTGAAGTAGAAGGCAAAGCAATCAAATTCATACCTTCTCCAAACGGAGAACCTGGGCCAATTTTCAGACATGCCCATCTGAAATTATTGTTTAAATTAGTATTGAGGCATTTTGTTGGTGATTTAGACACTCCAGTGTGAATGGTGGTCTTATTTTTAAGAGATTTTCCGAAGTTTAAGTTGTTTAAAGGAATGCCAATGACTAGGATGTGGCTTTAGGGCTGTTCTTCTCAGAGATTTAAGACATTTAATTGTGGGCTGCAAGAAAATGTATATGTCTGATTAGGATTCACAGCTGTAATTTCTCATGGAGTTAGGTATCAAAGCCTTTCTTCAAAAAAAAAAAAAAAAAGCAGAGGAAGAGGAGGTGTCCCCTT